ATAAGCGACACAACGACAGCCCTCATTATCGCGCTCACTGTTTAAACTCGCCCAATGATGTTAAATGGGCCAGACCGCAAAATGCGAATATGGCGCTGGCCGCTTCACCATTATATTGATTTCGACGCCATTAAAACGAACCGGAAATTAAAAAGAAATAAAAACATATTGCCTTCCCGCGCGCGCCGAACTCGGAACAATTTGTACATGTTCCGTTTTCGAACGGCGGCGCCCGCATCGCCAAAGCAGAACGTCACAAGTCACTCATATTGCGTTTAAATTTTGAACGCTGTTGTCATATCCCAAAGCGTAAAACGTGTTGATGTAATTTTTGGTAATGTTTGACGTTTCCCGCAATAGAGGGTAGGTAGATTTTATTTGGCATGCCATTATTGTCAGCATGATATGATTATTATATTATTGGGCGATAAACGGGCATAAAAAAGATATATCGCGCCGAGGCAATCATCTCGACCGGGGATCACGTTGTTATTACACTGTTTCGTGTGGATTTATCGGAACGCGCCGCCCTAATTAGCTTTCTAGAGCGTACGGAGGGTCCATTAATCATCGGCTTAGGAATTAGACGGCTGCATTAGTTGCCACTATTACATTAAAACTGTTCTATGCTGTGTCATATAATGTTTATCATTATGTTGCTTGCCTTACCGAAGTGCTATATAAACGTAAATAAGATATAGATACCCAATAAAAACTAACAAATATTGAACATAATGGGTAAAGCAAAAATTATAATTCATCTTCGGCTCCATGGGCATTTGTTATTACCAATGCGTCCATTAACGAATTTTTCCCAAACGCCAAAAACGCAGAAAAAAAGCAATTTGTTTTTGATTCCCATTAAAAATTTCCACTATTAGTGGCAGGATTACTGTTTACGTTTATATTCTTATTGATCTTCAAATCTCCAATCGTAAGGGTTATTCCTGCGAGTTTTAGAACTGAATCAAACGCCCTTCAATCAGCAAGAAAGATCTCTGTCCATTAGATCATAAGCTACAAAGCCATAACTCTGATTAAAAAGACGGATAGCTGTCATTACGTGTTACACTAAATAACTTCTAAATCATATCTAATAAATCATATCTGTATATCCTATGCATATATCCTTCTCACCTATATATTACCTCACAAATAACTTGCACGAACCCTTCAATTTGGAGACAATTTTGCCACAGCACCATGTAGCACGCTTCTGTAGCAATTTTGCCTTCATTTTCTATGCGACTATGAAATATAGTTTCAATTCTATGATACTATATTGTACAGTAATTAGTTTGTTTCAGAGATAGTACATATTTTGTACTATTTCGTACAATTGGAGCTACTGTAACCACATCGCGTCGGGGTCGTGGTGACACGTTGGAAATAACGAGGTTTAGACTAGCTAAAACCATGAAATCGTTTCTTGGTAAATGTATTAACTTATATAATAGAATAGGTGACATCCGCAAAACAATTAAGTATAAATAATTTCAAACATTTTGGAAAACCCACCTTAATGGAAACGCCCTATTATAATGTCGAGGAATACATTGAGAACAAAGATGTGTGGAAATGACTCTTGCTCTGCACTTGCAAGTCCCCTGGCTCCTGCTAAATTATACTAAAATAATTTTGTGAATATACTTAAATATCTTAAAAAAAACATATATATATATATATATATATATATATATATATATATATATATATATACCGGCAAGAAACTCTGCGGTATATATATATATATATACCACAGAGTTTCTTGCCGGTTCTTCTCTTGCAGGTCTAGTTTAGTGAACCGGTGGTACTTTTTTACGCTCAATAAGAGCTTAAAATAAGCCTATGTTGAATAAAGAAATTTAGACTTTGATATTCAGTAAAAATTTACAGACAAAACCGTTCAAAAGTGCAACTCGAACTAGAACGCCAAGGGTTAAATTTTACCCTTTACATGTGCTGTAAGACCTCGCTTTAACCAAAATTGACAATTCTAGGTCAACCGTAAATGCCCCATGGTTTTGGGTCGAAAATCTAAATAAACGTAAATTTTGATACTAGATACAAGTTTTCGCATTTTCCATAACTTCTTATTGTGTTGACTGATTATACACCTAACAGGGACTATAGACCTCTATATCCTCAGTATCTCATACAAACATACAGTTGAAACTAATAAAAGCGTGTTAAAAAGCATTATTTTAACGTAATACACCAGCGAATCAAGTGAATGGGCTTGCTTGTTATATTACCAAACCTGAAAAATATTATTGAGTACTTGAGTTGCAAGTTATCCAATTGCACTTTTAAATAATGATAAATTTAAAACAACCTTTTTCGACGCAAAAACCTTTCCAAACCTGGTAAAACTACAGACCATAATATAACCACTACAACTAATACCTTTTTTTTATGTGAAAAGTTGCCAAACGAGCAGACGGTGCACCTGATGGTAAGTGAATACCGCCGCCCATGGACATCTACTACACCCGAGGGTTACAGATGCGTTGACAACCTTTTCGGAAAGTGGGCTCCGGCAACCGTAAACCCTACCTTAACGCTTATTAATTTATATTATTAAAAACATACGACGCGGTAGACTCAGTAATTTATAAATGCGTAAACGCAATGTAATAAAGTCAATAAATTATTCAAACTGTAATAAATCGTGCAGTATTTAATCACAGAGCGAACCTGATAGTAAATTCACCGACCATGTACAAATTTGATATAAGATGTTTCGGGTGCCTTTGCGACATTTGATGGTTTGGCTTTCATTTACTTCACTCGCCGAAGAAAATGCAATAACATTGACACTTCCTTTCTTTCTTTCTTTTCCTTTGCACCGTGTCCTGTGAGTCAGTGTGGGCGTGAAGTGGAAGTATTAATCCTGGGTGACCGGCTCATTTGTGTGGCAGTAACGAGTGCGTCTCAACTACATGTTCTCTTTAGGGTTCCGTAGCCAAAGGGTAAAACGGGATTATTAAGACTATTATTAAGTACTACGACCATATTACTAAGACTCCGCTGTCTATCTGTGTGTCTTTCCATCTGTCACCAGGCTGTATCTCATGAACCGTGACTGTTAGACAAATGATTTTCACAGATGATGTATTTCCGTTGCCGCTATAGCAACAAACACTAAAAAACAGAATAAAAAAATGTTTAAGTAGGGCTTCCGTATGGATGTTGATGAATATGAATTTTTTTTATTCTGTTGTATAACAGACATGATTTTTTGTCGTTTTTGTAGATAATAGTAGAACCCCCGTGCGCGATTCCGACTCGCACTTGGCCGGTTTTTTGACTGCATTAATCAGTACCTATTGAAAAGAATGAATTGTTGAATTGAAACTAGTTTAGTAGCGTTTCGCGCAATAAAATTATTTTCGCAGCCAATAGTTTGTTCAAATCTTTACACCAAACACTTTATAATACGAATAAAGGAATACGTTCAAAAATAGAAATTCGACAGAAACCAAGGTTCAAGATTAGCAAAAGCATGGAACTCTGGGGTTACAATATTTACCCTAAACCTATAAAGATAATAGTCTTCACAAGTTTAATTTCTGATAACATTGACATTGATGATATTAAAATTGATTCGAACTTGTAACCCGCATAATAATAGTAACATATATAATATTATTGAGTTCTTGATATTAAATAGAGTTTCGAATATTAAATAAATGTAAAAATAACAATCTTTTAAAAAAAATCGCTTATACTGTCTAAATCGCTCTACGAGTTGAATGATTTTTCATCGGTAAAAGGATAGCCCGCCATAAATTGGCGGGAAAATGTGACAGTTTGGAGGACTACATGAAAAGCACATTAGACGCGTTAATGGCATTAATGGACGACAAATATTTGCATTGGCCCCAATTGATAACGATTGAGCACTGCGGTGGGCTTTAGATAGAAAAGTTATTTATTGCACGCTTGTTTCCATTAAGTACTCGCCTGTTTGTAATAGAAAATTTGGGATGACGGTATCGTTCCACCGTACTCTGTGATCGCGTTCGCGTCATATCTCGTTGCAACTAATTGACTAGGTATGGGCGCAATTTTCAAATATAAAAGTTTTGAATTATGGTGTCATCGTGGTTATGTCACTCTGAGATATTCACTCCTCTAGTTAACACTTATACGTATTAACGAAGTGATAACTTCTGCAATGACAACTTTCCACCGTAAGACATAATTTTTATTGCGGCTGAATTTTTTTTTAAATGATCGGGAAAGTAACAAAACTGTTTATTAATTAAATATAAATACTAGAACTTCCTCAGAACCCGAGTATAAATAATTATCATAAACATTGACATCAACTAGCTGTTTTTTTATAAGAAGCATTTTAACACTTCCACCACCAATATATCAGAATTTAAATTTCAGATATATTGGTATTTTTGTTACAATTTTAATTTAAACTCTGCCATCTGTTGTACACTAGAATAAAAGTTGTTAATCTACTGCCCACAAGATGTCGTTGTACGAAACTTCTTATTAATCGAAGTTCAGACTGAAGCCACTAGATGTCTCTGGAATAAACTTTATCTACATGTCAATGACATATTTGACAGCTATGTTCACGCTTGTTCGACAAGTGCCCGTTTTTTTTTCACAGAAGCACAGATCCAAGCAACGCTGCAAACGTTAGTCGTCGTTTATTTTGCTAAAGTTTTGTGTCAAACGTGTTATACGCCTGTGTACGTTAAGCATTCAATTTCAGTGAGCTGTATTGTTGAACTGTATGCCTTGAAAACACAAGTGAAGTTTTGTTGGTTTAGCGAATTATGTGATAAGTAAACTTAAGTTTTCAGACGTATTGAGGTGCGAAGTGTGACCAAATACTTTCTCGCTTTATCAATTTCGCGCTTCTCGGAAAGCGAAATCACAGAAAATGAGTTAAACAAAAGTTATTTCATAACGACGAAACTGTTAAGATTTGGACCACAGCAATTGACGCTAGAATAGTTTACGTTTACCTTAAAATGACTACAGACCGATTCCACAAGTAAGTATTTTGAATTCAAATATATTATGTATTGATATCTATTTTTACGTGGTTTCCTAATAGATAAGATTAACAATGATTGTAATCTCATTCATTGGTATTTTCGTTACAAAGCTGTGACTGAATAAAAAATCAATTGCAATTATTACCTAACGCTTCGACTTGTTAATGATATCAAAATTCTACCTCGCCATTTAATATCACCCTCATATATTTTAGTCCTTTTCAAGTGAAGTACTCTACTAAACTATTACTGCATTAAAGTTAGACCCCCTTTGGGCACGGACACCCAGGGTGGGTTAGTGTTCAGATAGGCTGAGCAAAGAAGGCACATCAAGTATACTTTCCCCAAATAAAGTCAGAGGTATCAAAATCCGTAGCATTTGTTTTGCAATTATCCGCAAGTGGAAGACAAACACAAATAGTTTAGTACATAATTAATAACAAATTTAATGGCCATGCCGACCACCTTGTTGGTTCACGATGAAGAAGGAAATCTCTGTATAATTGTCGATGTCGCCAGTCTTGAAAGTTGGTCCCTTCATGGCCTTATTGCGACTTGTGATCGTCACACGAATAATGCTTTTTTTTAACAACCTGTGTATGTTGTGGGTAAGAAATAATAGCCTTTTAATCCAAACGCGTACACAGAGATGCAAATGTTTTCCACGTCTGCCGTAGTAATGGGCCTTAACGTGAGCGATCCTAAATTTCACGCATAGATCAATTAATTTCAAAATTACGGTGCACGCCATTTATAAATCTAATCCGCACTCAAAGATCGCCAAACCGACACACCAGCCAAACATTAACTGTGGTTGCGTCTCGTAACACGTATTTGCTGTTGCACGAATGGGCAGGTCCATCTGGGTAACTACCCACAGAATACCAGTGTGCAATGGGAGGGTTATACTTATGCGTTTCGTCTGGTGAGTGAGTTAACCTGCTGTTAATACAGCCCACTGTATTAAGAGGCGGCAAGGCATCTGCAACCCTACGAGTCGATGGTCGGCGGTTATCACTTAACATCAGGTGAAACCCCGGCTTGCTTGCCTCCTTCTCAAATAATGTAAAAAGTATAGGTACATATGTATGCGGGCTTTTATAATAGGGATTAGGATTTTCAAACACTCACCAACTAAGATGATTAATAACCATATACGATAAAACCCACTCAAATCGTCCTCCTCCTGCCATTATGGTGTACGTGTTATTGGTGCCATTGGCTACGTTTTTTACAACCGCATTTGTGGGTTATAATCTAACCCACGACTTCCAGTGCTAAAGCCAATGTCTTAACAACTGCCCCACCGAGCAATTATAAACCGTAAATAAAAGCTAGCCTAAAAGTAGCCTTGTAACTTGTACACATTTTCACATTAAATTTACACAATTTCACATTGCAATAAAAGTATTATTGTCATTGTAGAGTCGACTCTATTAGTAAAACATTGCAAGTTAAAGAAATACTTGTAAAATCAATCAAATCAATTCATTATTAAATTAAAAAGTAAAATAACGGTTACACTTTTAGGTTATTAGGGCATAGTACGCCATGCGAAAACTTTGGCAAACAAAATCGCAGACTTTATATATCTTCGAAACGGAGAGATTTTTTTCTATTGCCGAGCACGTATTAAACGAAATAAAATAAAAATTGCATTCAACTATTTCATTTGGCTTCTTATTGAATTCAGTTTGTTCGAGTGTACTGTTTTTAATTCAAACAACGCCCTCGGACACAGAACTACCTCGGCTGTCATGCTTAACTTAATTTGTAAAAGCGTCCTCGAATATACTTGTTTAAAGGCACATTAAATTACACGGGGATGACACCTAAATATGGAAAAGCCATCCGTTAATCGTGGGCAACTGGACAGGTTATTTATATTAGCACGATAGGCACGAAACACTAAAATTATTCGTTGTTCGGATCAGGAAGTTTTGAACAAATCTACCATTAGCAGTGTAAAAATATAAGCGTTTACGAAACAGTTGATTGACGTATTCGTCGATAGACTTTCCCGCGTGGAATGTGCCTTTAAGAATTTGACGAATTTAAGTTACGACCGCAAAACTTTATTTTTCATTTTAAAACGTTGTTAGTAAGCGACAGGAACCCCACTGTATAAACAAACACGATAGATGTCTTTTGTTCTAAACCTTTAGTCCCCGGTTAACTCAATCACCGGAGGACACGCAAAAGTATGCTTCAAATTTCTTTATTCAATGCAGAAGCATTACACTTATGGATTGTCGAAATACTACAACCGGTTCAGAAAAGAAAAGCCATAGTCCGCTGCCATGGTGTATCTGAGATGATCTACTGAGCTGTTAGTCCCTCCCGCCGGTGTCATCACCGTGGCCTTGAGGCCTGAATCAGGCATTCAATGCTAACGGAATGCCCTTCACACCGTGATGAAGCAGGAGACACGCTCCACGCCACCGCGGTTCAACGCTCTACCAAATAACGCACGCGAACCGTGGCCATTGTTCGGGTTATGGGAAATCCATTGCGATCTGAACGCCAGATGAATAATATGACACTAGCTATCTCACTAACATCGCTCCGATCGTGAATGCGAAAAGTCGTGTGTTTTTTTTTTTGTTTTAACACAGCAACGGTTGAACGATTTCGCATGAAATAGCTCCAGGTGGGAGGGGGGGAGTCTTGACCTCTACCAATTATTGGATTTTTTTTCATTGAGTATGACTACTCTAATCTTGCATTATTCGATCACTAACTATATATGCCCCGCTACATGTCAAAGGCCTTTGTACAGAGTGTTTTAGAGCATATCCAAGCGATCCCACTGCGGATTGGCAACCTTCATATATCTTCGAAATATGTTTCGTCACGATGTTTTCCTGCACTGCTGAATAAGTGATAAGTCACCACATTGTGGAAATTAAACTGGCCAAGTGCGAGTCGGACACACGCACGAAGGGTCTCGTGCCATTATCTTTAAAAACGGCAAAAAATCATGTCTTTTTGAGCCCCGCTTAAATAGTTTTTATTACGTTTTTAGTATTTGTTGTTATAGCGTCAACAGAAATAAATCATCTGTGAAAATTTCAACTGTCTAACTATGACGGTTCATGAGATACATCCTGGTGGCAGACGGATAGAATTGCTGTGGTAGAGTCGTAACAGTGTCTACTGTAACTTGCATAGGAGAGTTCATTCGGTGAAGACACACGGACAAACTGAAGGGCATTTGAGTATTCCAACTGAAGAGTGTACCACTAATTTAGTGACCAGTGCCCACCTTCTAAGTTTAAATGAAAAACGGTATACTATAATCATAAGCCATCCGTTTTTTTACTAAAATTACGAGAATAAACCGTATTAGGTTATCACTAAATATACCATTTATTATTTATTTGCCCATTGCCATAAAACCATGTGTAAACATGTTGGCACGTGTGTGTTATTTGGGTGCGTAACATTTAAAGTTTTTTGAATTTTCACACAGCAAAACTTAAAACACATCAACACAGCATTTTAGACTTGTCTACCCCTGCGAAGGGTAAAGTTTATAATAATTATAAAGCACACCAAAACTAGATCTTGTCATGAATCCAATTTGCATAAACCATTCGACGTTTTTCCGTAAAGTCCCGACGCGCGTTTCCAAATAAAAAATTATGCAGTCATCTGACACATGAGAAATGAGTTTACGGTACAAAGACTGCAAGCTAATTGAAAGTGAAAATAGGGAAAATACTCGCACAGCTCGCGGTGTCGTGTCAGTTGAAAATTGGCGCGAGCGGAATTCGGAACGAAATTAGGTAAAACTGTTATTACAAAGAAAAAATGCATTAGGATTAATTTTACATTTTCTGTGCTAGTCGTAGTTTTGTAGCGCTTAAGATGCACCTTTAAATTGTAAACTGTATTATTGTAGGTTTTAATACGCAGGTTCGAATTCCGCGGCGACGAAACTTCTTGTTCAATTAATATGCATGTTATAACTTAAGTGAAAAGGAGGAAATAGATGGTTCACCTGGTGGTAAATAAACATCCTTATTTAATTATGGAGCAAATGTGGGTTTGTTGATATGTTTGCAAACTTAATTCCACGCTGGTCTTCTGTATCACCTTTGTGCTTCCCCGGACGAGCCTGCATAAACTGCCCCGCCACGATCAAACAAGAAACAAAGCTAGTAACATAAACATCACAACTCTGTTTATTGTAGAATATTACAAGTAACGTATGTACATACTTTAAATCGACTACGTGCAAAGCGGTGATGACTGGACAAGAGTTTTGATGTGAGGTTAGATCTCAGATGTGTGATGATTTATTCATTCAGAGGTTTCATTTTCCCACTTTTCAAATCAATTATAAAGAAACAGTCGTAAATATTTTGTTTATGTGTATTGAAGTCACGAGTCTTTATTACGTATTGATAACTTCAAGGTCTGAATACCATGCCAATAAACAGAGAAAAAAAAATCCTCAAATTGTTAACTATTTTACAGATTTTTATAAAGTTTAATTGTGACACCAAATCCCGACTTTCGGAACACTATAGCGTCACGGAAGTAAGCTTTTTTTAAGTCCTTAACTTATAACTAATAAGAGTGGTTTCCTTGATCTAGTTTATTAGATGATCACACGCTAATACATGTGAACGGTAATTTAGAAATTAAAAGACAGATTTTCACGGAGCTGGACTAACCTGTCTTTGTTCCATCGGAAGCGACAATCTCGCGATGACCGCTTTGGCGCGAAACTGGTGAAAACATCACTACTTACTTGTCACGCTGGGGTTTCTAATTAGCTGTGATTGATACTTATCGTCAATAGAAGTTTCATTGCAAAGGGATTTTTAAAATCAAATCAGAAAGAACACTTACGCCCGGTTTCTGAAACAATGATCATCGTAGAAATTAACTAATCAGCTGTCAAATGGTTTTTAAATGTCATTTGAGTTGCCAAAAGGATGGTTCAACTATTTGAATTGATCATTCCGATCAATTCAGAGAGTTAGTC